ACATAAATTGTATTATTTTATATTTTTGTCAATTTATTGAGTTAATACTAACATCTTCATATATATATTGTAGATAATATATGTCAGGAAAAGTAGATCAAGTAAATCAACATTAATAAGACTAATATAATAAGGCCACTGTTAACCATTATATAATGAAAACATTCATAATTGCCTATGAACTTAGCATCAATCATATAATAATTTATATTTGTACTTTTTTCTTTTATGGTCATTTCACTCATATCTTTTACCCATATCTTCTTCTGATGAGTTATTATTTTTCCTATTTCCTTTCTCCATCCCTTGGATTACTCAAATGTGCCAGGTACCCTTGCAGGCTTTCCCAGACTTTTTAGTGTGCTGAATAAAAACACTTGCTAAGCCATTTGTTGTGACACTTTGCTGCTATTGTTAGATAATTGGCACCAATACATATTGCTTTATTACTGCTCTTTTCATGCTCTTCCTTCACTCCCCTCCTTGACTGGATATTTATCTCCCAAACATAAAGCTTACTCATGGTATTTATTGCTTTAGGTTCAATTTCTTTCTTTCTTTTTTTTTTTTTTTTTTTTGGTACCAGGAACTGAACCCAGGGGTGCTTAACCACTGAGCCACAAACCCAGGCCTTTTAAATATTTTATTTAGAGACAGGATCTCACTAAGTTGCTTAGGACCTCACTAGATTGCCAAGGCTGACTTTGAACTTGTGATCCTCCTTCCTCAGCCTCCCAAACCATGGGGATTACAGACATGAGCCATCACAACTAATTGTATGCTCAATTCTTAAAACCTGAGGCAAACACTAGGTTTATGTTTGGTCCTTTCCTAAAAATAGGAAATTTCTCATTCAGTCTTTTGTGTGTCTTTAATTCCACTGTTAATATTTGAAAAATCCGTGGTTATATTCCTTGATTATTACATTAGCTAAATGTATTAGCACTTAATTATTTTGTTTGTTATTTCAGCTCTTGTTTAGCAGCCTGGAATACTACTAAAGCCAGGGTGACAAAAGGCAGTCAGTTTATATAATAAATAATTGGGTCTGATAGGGGATATGGGAACTAGTTCAAAAGGAAAAGAAATCAAAGGCTGATATCTCCAAAGCCCTTCCCCCTCCTCCTTCACCTGTTGCCCAGGTAACTGCCCCCAGAGAATTGTTCCTCCCTATAAGGAGTTGTTGATTAATACCTCCTGGACTGTTCCCTTCCTGCCCAGAATCACTCCATCTTTGGCCCACCTTTTGGTCACGTAAGCAAGATAAAGGGAGAAAGATGGCATGAGAACAAAGGAGATCTAAAAAGTATAAAAGGGGTGAGACATCCCCACATCCTTGAATATCCAGATCTGGGACCCCCATTTCTGTGGAGAAGTCTGTTTCCGTTCTAATCTATAAATAAAAATTGCTTTACATTTGCCTCAGTGTTTCTCAGATATTCAAAATTAACATCTGGAGAAATGAAACTTGACTGTGATTGAATCTCATCATCAGTGGTATCACTACCAATCCAGAATCAGATAGGCAATGTGACTGTAAATTCTAAGACTGCCTAACTGAGAAATGACAGAGAAGTCTTTATTTTCAACTAGAGCCAATACAGAAAAAAAGTTCTTGATATTTCCAAGTATTACACAATAATCTAATTTTCAACTCTCTTGCTGAAATTAAAGCCTCATCCTTTGTCTTGCAGCTGTTTAATGTTGGCAACACCATTGTTAAGATTAAAAATACTTCCAGCTAGTGATAGCTTTGATGTCAGTACACCTCACTGATTTCAAGATATAGCTATTTTGGACCTTGATGACCTTTTTTAAAAACTAGAAATCTAGATAAAAAGCCAAAAAGATATTGGATTTTTAAGAAACTTTGTCTATCTAGACCTTTGAAGCTAGGCAGGAGATAAAGGGAAGCTGGGTTTCATTAAATGTAAATATGGATGCCTGAGCTGGTGAACTGCAGCCCTTAGGAAGAGATTGGAACAGGAGCCCTGGCTCCTAACTCCTCAAAGCAACCTTCACTCTCCTAGGCTCTTAGAGCTTGACTTGTTCTACTATCAAGGTTAGAAGTACAACGAGAGCAGTAAAGGAATAAGAAATGAAAAGAAACATAAAGGTGAGGAAGAAAAAATGAAAGGACAGAATGACTGGAAAGAACATGAGCAGAGAGAAAAGACAAGAAAATGTTTAAATAAATTTCTATAAGAAATAAAATAACTAAGAGAGCATTAATTCATGAGAGAGATGAAAATACAAAGGGTCAGCTATTAAGAAACAAGATTTCTCCAGGTGTAGTAGCACATGCCTGTAATTCTAGCTGCTCAGAGGCTGAGGCAGGAGGATCACAAGTTAGGGAAACCCTGTCTCAAAAAAATATAAAGGGCCAGGTGCGGTGGCTCACGCCTGTAATCTCAGTGATTTAGGAGACTGAAACAGGAGAATCGCAAGTTCAAAGCCAGCCTCAGCAAAAGCGAGGTGCTAAACAACTCAGTGAGACCCTGTCTTTAAATAAAATACAAAATAGGGCTGGGGATGTGACTCAGTGGTTGAATGCCCCTGAGTTCAAACCCCATTAACACCCCCCAAATATATATATAACCTAACCCTACCTCAAAACTTTTCTCTAAAACAACAGCAGATAGAGTTAATAATCTGTAGAGGGAAAAGTAAACTAAAACTCCCCTCTGGGTATTACAATTTTTGGAAAGTAACATGGAGTTCCAGAGTAACCTGAGTTCCCTATTCCTCAAATAGAATGTCACTCAGCTTTTTAATGCTTTTTTAATGCTTTCTGTTTCTAAGCAGTAGGTGATAAAAAGATGTCTGATGTTAAGTCTCCAACACAGAAAAAATACATTAAATTGAAAACTGAACCACTTCAAATAAAAATATAAAGGCAAAATAAACACCCAGAACAAAACCTCTATAAATAAAATATTTTGGATCCCT